TCTCTTTTAAAAGACTCAAAGCCTCAATAATGATTTGTTTTTTTTTTTGTTTGTGTGTCTTTTGTTTAACCTGCATGGGTCTGTTCTACACTGTCACTGCTGATTTATGATCCACTTCTGACAAGGAAACTTTCTCCTCTGGCGGCTGCAACAAAATGAGCTTGAGAGCAGACTCTAAATCTGATGGGACTGCAATCACTATTTATGCACGAAAAAAGAAGGGAACAGTTTATCTGCTGGACTGAGACTTGTACCCACGACTCAAGACATTTTTGTTGTTTCTCATACCATAATTTATTTGTGTCCTAATCATTACTGTTGAGTAGTTTCTTAGTTTTTCTTTGCATGTCCTGCATGGGGATTAGAAACACCACATTTTATCTTCTGCTGGTACAAAACCAAACTAAAACCCTAAGTTATAAAATAATAAGAATTTACAGTTAATTACGTATATATATGTGAGAAAATTGAAATCGCTTGAATCACCAAACAGCAGGTGAAAGAAAAACGCTGCAAAAAGTTTATCCCTACAAAGAGCCTTTTCTTCTCATTTCTCCAAAGAAGTGGCTAAATTAAATGTTTCATATTTCAACAGCAAACTCAGTCTTCTGTGCATCATCTGTATTTACAAAATCAAATTGTTTTTATCTTAGAATTAAAAAGCCGTTATCATCATTGTAAGCTCTGCATACAACAAAACTACTATACGAAGCATTATGAAGTTCCCTGTAAGCATGTAAGTTTTCTGTTACTGCTGTTTTTGCCTTTCTTCCTTTCATTTGCTGTACTGCTCTTCAAATGCATTTTTTATGAAATCAGATTATATACAAATTAGAATTTTGACTCCCACTGTATGCCACCCTGTGCTCCTCCAATTATCTGACCGTCTTACAGGAGCTTGTTCACTGTAAATGTGTTGTTGCCAATTTACTTCAGAGGAGACACCACCTTGGTCATTTAAAATGCAAGTTACTTCACATTAAATTAATTTAATGTTGAGTTAAATTAAGTTCACATGCAGCCTAACAGTTATACCTCCTTATTCCTAACAGTGTAACATTACTATACATGCCCACTGCGACCACACTATAATCAAATCTAAACCTGTTTTAAGTCCGGATTCACACCTGACTGTTACCTGCTTTTTATTTGAAGCCTCTTCACCATCTGCAGGTGGATTCGGACATAAGACAATGACTCTGTTTGATGTTAATTAAATGAAAAACTGCAAACATGCACAACAGCTTGATTTGAACTTTCAGTGTGAGTGTTACTAGATCCATGACACAAATTAGATGGGACAAAGTGCTTGGATATTATAACACTGTCTCCAAGGGTTAAAACGTTTGCAAGAACACACAGACACACACACACACACACACACACACAGCCATGGGGTAAAAGGAGACAGCGGTGTCCTGTCAAGCCACAGAGCCTGATTTATCCTCTGTCGCTGCTCTCATTCCTGTCCTGCAGACCACAGACATGAGGGATGCCTTTAATTTCCCATTAAAATGCCCTGGAACAACTGAGGGCTGAGGAGGCAGTGTGTGCCGCTGTGTGTCACTGTCTTGTGTGTGTGCATTGCTTGATTAGACCGTGTAACAGTGGTATGTGTGCGTGTGTTTGTGCATGAAGCTTTTGCAGGCGTTTCTGTTAAACTGCACAGACACCAGAGTATCAGAGTGTGTGTCAGGAAGCGGGAACATAAGCGCACATCATTCTAGATGACATGGGCTGCAGCTCCAGGGCCAGGCCCACGATAAATATTAATGGCCAAGAACAAGTGGATTGGGAGTTGAGTTATCAGGGCGGGCCTTCCTAATTGACATTTTACCTGCTGTATACCTTAACAGGGCTGTAAAACACCAGGCCCGGGCTCAGCCGTAGGGGGGACGTGTCAGTCAAGCTCTTCCCCATCACAGCTGCCTTCCTCTGGGAGGAGAGGAGGAGCTCCAGCTCGCCTGCACTTCTCATTGTTCGGATTCAGCATCAAGGTGCGACATGTAGCATTTCAACATCAAGAAATTATCAGCATGTATAATCTGAGGGAATTAACACATAGGAAACAAACAAGGCTACAGCTTCTTCCTGCCTCTACGCTGAACTTTTGATTGTGTTGGATTTGATGGGTAATATGTCGGATGTTTTTCCTCAATAAATAATACAAAGGTTAATTTCAGATCCACTTTTCTGACAAATTAATTGATTTTTTAACTGTCTCTAGAATTTCAAACTTTTGGTTGATCCATTTCTACAGTATTTTAATTAATGTCATTCAAAAAGACCCAAGTCCACTTGTTAACATTTCTTCAAATTTAATCACAATTAGGACTTTACTAATGATTCAATTTCATTACCAATGATATGACAATTATTTTCTCAATTAGTCTTCGGTCCATTAGATGTCAGAAAATAGTAAAAAAGTCATCACAGTTCCCCAGATCCTTCTTTTCACAAATCAACAATTAAATTTACTGTCATAGAAAAGCATCAAATATTCACGCCTTCTCCTGATTTTTTTCCGTCATTTTTGCTTAGAAAAAAAAATGCTGATTACGTTTGTGTCCATCACCTAATTGACTGAGTAATTCTTCAGCTTTAATCGCAGTTGTAATAAACAAAGGGTCTCTCATAACAGAAGTTCACACATTCATTTATCAATCACATTCCTCTCTGTCACTGACACAGTTCAAACACACTCTCACACTGGGCAGGCATGTAAACAATGTGACCGGCCTTTACCATACACTCGCTACATTACTATACTCCCGCTCATCCAAAACATTCACTTGTCTACTTCCAACACAGACACACACACACACACACACACACACACACACACATTTAACTGCATACAAAAACACAACAAAACACACACACACACTCATACAAAGTGGACCCAGAAAAGTGTTCCCACTTACATTATCTGAAAATTGACAGGCGGGGGCAGACAACAAACAATTATCCCCGGAGCACGGGGGGAGAAAAAAAATCGAAGACTGAGAAAACAAATATGGGTGATGTCATCAAAGCTAAATGGCAAGCCCTGTGTGAGAAAGAGTCTATTCATATTTACTGTTGCCAGGATTTCAATATCAACATCATAGAAAGCACATCAGATGTTTCTCTTTCCACTGACTGGTTCACAAAGAGAAGCACAAACTGCCATCTCTATTTGATGAAAATGAGAACACAACAAAAAGGTTAATCTATAGACAAACACCATTAAATAAACAGCTCATAATGCTGGGATATTAGCGGCGCTTATATGAAATGGCAGATGATTATATTTTCTAAAGGCCAATGTTTGTAATATTTTTTTGAAAAGAGCAAATGCGACTCAGCGGGTGCCGTGATTTATGAGCGTTTGTGGAGGTGCAGTGTAGCGTGGTGATAAGGCCGAAAACATGGAGGAGAACCATGACAGACACAACTCAGTGATCACAGAACAACTGGCACACAGTCCATATCAGGAGCCCGTCAGCGTGTTATTATTCTGTGGTCCTTTTTTCTACATAATCACCTGGGAATGCAGAGATAATCATCTGACATACCCACAGTCTGTCAATTAAAGCATAGACATAAAACTACACTTGAATCAATGCTTGCTGTAATCCACAGGATGATCACAGAGCACAGGGCTTAAACCTGCTGCTGCTGCTGCTGCTGCTGCTGTTGTTTAGTGTTGAGTATTTGGCTCCACCAAGAGGCCATAGTCAACACAGCTGATGAGCTGTGGGTAAATAGATGAATGACCAAGATTAAAAGCTACTGTAATAAGGACAATTTCATACATGGCCTTATTAGATTCATAGATGTTAGTAATATTTACGATTGTGTCAGTTAAACAGGAAACGTTTTATATGAAGATTATAGGACATTAATATGCATCTTTCATTGGACGGTGTAAACTTGTATTGTCAAGTTCAAATATTTGAATTGACTTTAGTTTCACTATTTAAGCCAAAGTGCTTTAAGCTTGTATATTGATTGGTTTAAAATGACCTGCATTCAAACTTACTTTTGTTCATTAAAAGTAACTATAATTAATTTATTATTTGATGACAAATCTTGAAAAAAAAAAAAAGATAAAGGAAAAAGATAAGCAGTCCCAAAACATGTAACTTTGACATGTAATTTTAACTTGAGCGCTGACAAATAAATTATTTCCAGATGTCTACTGCCATCCTGTGGCCGTATACTGTTACTACAGCTCGTGGGAACATAGTACACTATATTCAGTCTTGTTCACCACTATTTACTCTAAGCAATTATTTGCTAATATACTTGATGAGTAGATCCCATGAAGTACCTACATATATGTTGCATTTCTTAACAGCTTCAGGTCAAAGAGCTTCTGAATGTTTGCAGCTCTTGTATCATGTTTGCAGTTCTTAGTTTATGCTGTATTCACATCTTGATAGACCAAACCCCCTTAGATGATGCGTTCTTGAATTTACATCCAAATTTGATGCCGTTCAAAACCAAACACTTAACACCATGGTCAACGTTGTCTCAACTTGTTTGTGACAGTTGGATTCGGCCTTTTCACACCTAACATGCGCTCACACACAGTGTTTTTGTTCTATCTACTGCAAATCAACCACAAGCAAACAAAAAATTCCACCACAGTGTCCTAATTCAAGAGCTGTGATCACAAAATGACTTGACTGCTGACACGTGTTCACCGTCACTGTCTGAGATACTTCCTCGTTAGTGGTGTTAAAACAAAAGAGAAATGGGGGTCTGTCAAAACTGAATGTACTACTTAACATAAACTTGTCTCGATATCTGGTGCTGTTACTACCCCTGATACAGAGACGCATTTTTAAAAAAATGTGGAAAGTTGCTTCTCTTGTTGAATTCATTTTTAACTGTAGGATTTTCAGGCTTTACAGCAGTGTGGAATTTTGACAACACTGTTTGAAGTAACTAGTCTGTGATCTTCAGTGTGTAAGAGAAACATTACTTAATACTGTATGTGAAGCAGGACTTACAGTGAAATGCTCCTGGGATTTGTAGTTCTCATCGAGGTAGACGCGAGCTCTGCTGTACTCCTTCATGGCATCACTGGACAACAGCTCCCTGATGCACAGAACACACACACACACACACACAGATATATTAGGAAATGTAAATCAAATCCAAACAAGTGTTCGTCAAGTTGAACAACATTTAAAATAATTAAAATCAATCAAGTTAATATTTATCTTGATTTACACTGGAAGGCTCCTTCTGAGAAACAGAAAGAGATACGTTTTGCTGAGCTGACGTACAGCTTCGATGCGACCAGTGGGGGGAGCAGTCCGCTCAGTTTAACACAGATTCCCGCCTGCTCCACAAGGCAAATGGGTGTTTCCTTATCAGAGAAGCTGCTCAGCTATTACCTCTATGGTCATAATAATTACTACAGATAACCAGATCATGAGCCCAGTACTTACTTGACAAAACTGTCCACGTGTGACATGGACTCCTCATAATTCTTCCCGCCCACCTCTTGACAATGCACCGCCAAGAAGTGAGGCTTATGTGACTGTACTGTCTGTGAGGGGAGAGAGAGAAAGACAGGTCAAAAAGGAGGGAAATGGACAAACAGTTCTTCCTCTGCACTTTATTTTTTCATTACAGGTCCATCCATAATAGCTGGAACAACACTGCAGTCAGCCCATTCGCTCATAATAAACAAAACTTAAGTTGAATTATTCGGCCGAGCGCAAAACCTGTGCGAGTGCGGCGCCTGGGCCTCCACAATTCTTCCTAACTCAACTCTGTGACATGCCACTATATTTACACAAGACAAAGTGCCACGCTAATGTAGGCAGAAGGCACTTAGTGAGCTTGTTCCACAAGCATAATGTCGGCCCCTCTTCATCCACCACCAGGGATGTGCCTGCAGATCTGTATGTACAGCAGGGTGTGACAGATGCTCACACGTCACCACTTGTGCTGACACATCACTCACAATAACAACTCCTCTGCTCCAGGAATATGTCAGCAGTACTTATTAGAGCACGGGCAAGACTCCAGCAAACACAGGCTGGATTGTGGTGAAATGAATGTAAACCTGCATGCAAATTATGTCATTCAGACAAATTAGTGACTCCACACATAAAAGTGAAAAGTGGTAACGTTCACTTCTTGCATGCTGCATCTCAGAGTCACATGACCTCATGTTGCTTTCCTTTAACATTCCCTCTTAACACATGACGGGGTGTTTGTGATCGCCCTGTCAGAGGTGTTCAGAGCGGCTGACCTCTAATGGAAAATCAATACCACTGAGTGATTTACAGCACTCACAAGCACTCACAGGCTCCGGCCTATGGATGGTAGGCAGGGGCTATACATCACTGTCACCGGGAATCAGGAGGGGAGGGTGGAGGGGCTACAAATGGTCCCTGGACCCTGACAGAGCCCTGCTACCTCACCAGCACCCCACCTCAGCCCTGCATTATGCCCTCACTACAGGCCCAATCAAATAAAAGTAATGTATGGCAATAACACTATGGATTTTCCATCAACCTATGGCTTGTCACTTAGCTCGATGACCCAGCAGCGGGGACATACAGCGGCTCAAACCTGGAAAGATTAGTGGACCTATCAACTCGCACCAGAAAAGGTCACACTCTCAAGGAGCTTGCAACTAATGTCAGGCTCAAATGTGACGTGCAGGACGTGTATATGTGTGCACACACTAACATGCACATGCTTGTGTTAATCGGCCGCATTCTATTTACCTTTCCAGGCTGTAAATTCAGGTCTATGTTGGCAAACGGACAGGTGGTAATTTCATTACCAGAATTACCAGCGCTATCAGCCCAAAACCAAACAGCATTAACCACTGACCTTACTTTATTCAGAGGAACCTGCGAACACTTTCTTATTAAATTAACCACTGTTAACAAGAAATTCTGTTGACAGTTGAGATATTAACATGCCAAATATTGCATTTATAAAACATGATTTTATAATGGGCAACAACAGTAGTGGTCTCTCAGCCCTCAGACAGTGACAGCTGCTGTGGTGAGAAAAGCCTGTCTGGCCATGCTGACTTGACGAACAGACCGCTGCCATATGAGACCGATTCTCAACCTCACACGGATGTCAGACACTGACGAGTTTGTGTCCAGTTTAATTCGTAAGCACTTCATGTAGCTGAAGTGCCAACTTAAGTGTGACCATTGAGTAAAGTGTCAGTTAAAGTGAAAGAACTAAAAGTAGGAGAGGATTCAGCTGAAGTTCAAGAATTGAAACGACGTCAGTCGAAGTCCTGAAAGTGTCAGCTGAGGTGGTAGATAGTGAAGTGTGTGAACTGAAAGCGGTTGAGGTAAAATGTGTATCAAGAGTAGAGGTTGTTGGACTTAGTCCTCACAACCCGCACACCTTATTTATTGTAAAGAAAATGAAATTGGTGTTTTACAGTTTGTTCTTGTCTTCCTGTATGTCTGGTATAAAGGTCAAAAGCTGCACTGTGCACCAGATTTCACCTACTAGATAGAAAGGGACTTTGATGAGGACTAATCAGAGAGTCCGATTTCATGGTTCCTATTTGGACATGCGAAATAATCAGAGAGATCAGGGGAGTTTGTGAGATGATGTACAACAAGGATTCTTCTGCTTTACTTAGGGCGGCACAATTAATTGAAAACCATACAAATCATATTCTCCAGACGTAAAGAAACATGTTTGTTTGGTACAGGACCCAACAAAAATCCCATCATCATCATCATTTTAATGTCTTTTTCAACGAAAATTAAATGCAAAAATGACCATTCCAACTGAAATTACAATATGATTTTTTTTGCATATTGTGTAAAATACTTGCTTTAATATTCAACTGTGGTGTGGTTACTGACTCACAAGCTTCTGTGGACATACAATGGAATGGGAAATATGGGGCTTCAGAATAAAATCTGAAGTTGTTTTTTTTTTCTATTAAGAATTATACAATTAAATCAAAAGGCTTTAATTCTATTACATACATACGTTAGGTAGGCTTTGATTTTCAACAGAGGCTTCAGGACCCATAATACAATTAGAGACTGGCTATTTTGTTTAAAGACCCAATTAACCTTTAGCACTGTGCATCTCTGCACTTTACAGATCACAAGACTGTATGTGGGGACCTGACACAATCACTGGCCTGTGACTGTCCAGAGAAGTTTCCAATGCAAATCAGCTGTGGGATTATCCAATTCAGTGTGGTGCAATGCAAAGCACTGTTTATACTACCGCAGCAGCGATGCCGGATTCCCATTTAACCCAGTCTACTGCACACGTGGAACAGGCAAATGACCCTGCTTTGCTTATATGTAAAAGACTGGGATATCCTGAGACCGGGAGAGAGTCATAAAACATGATTTGATTGGACTCACTGGCATGAGAAATAAAGAAATGAGAAACAAAGGCTTTGAGAAAAGCAAAAATGTATCATAAGCCTCCCAATAATAATGGTAAATAGTTTCGCTTTTCACCTTATTTAGATTCATTCAATCCAATAAAATTCATCCAAGGACTAAATTTAAGCCCTAAGAATTCGCCCACAGCTGGTTCACTTATTCTGGTAACTTGTGATCCCAGCAACACTGAAACATATCTGTACCGTTAACAGTAACTAAGCCTGATGGATGGCTCTGCACTCTTTCCTGTAATTCACTGTCTCTGATGTTCAGACCGGTCAAAAACACTTCAAGAAAAAGCTGAATGAGTAATAACATAAACTTTGTTTCAATTAGTTATAACAGGCTGTACATGTATGAGTAGGTGTCGGCTGCCAAATGTCAATATCTGTTCCTCTACACCCCTACAACCTGAAAATCAGATTCCTGTAAATAGTTTAGATTAGAGTCCGACTCCCACAGAAATGTGCTGCAGGTCTCTCAGAAAAGAGACCGACATTTGCAGACATGTTGGTGCAAAATCAGTTTACTTTTACCTGCCTAAATAAACTGAACTAAACAAGTTACCACTGCACAGATTGTCTAAACTGCTCCAAACACGCATGGTATGAAGAGGCTCTGTCGGGAAACACACCCTCTGCAAAATAAGCCAAATTACACAGTTGCAAAGGGAACACGAGAGACGGATCAAACGAGGAGAAAGAGCGAACGCTGTGGCAGATTCCACAGTAGCTGGTGCAAACATCCTCATGAATTATGACCAAGGTGTGTCAGAAAATAAATAATTATTTTTCTTCAAGGAATTCCCTCTAGCTGCAGGAATGATCGGCAGGGCAGTTCCCAATGAATAACTGAAGGAAACAAGCTGCAACTGCCACGATTTACAGACATATACATAAAGACATGCAGTGGGAGTGCAGGTACCAATACACAACATTGCACAACCTCACTGTAATTGCAGCTCTATAAAAGCCAGTTTAACAGCTTCTATTGTTTATTTTCCAGGATGTTTCAGTGGAACCATGTTGCGATTCATTTTGACGCATCAACAAAGAATGAGACGGCTCTTCCCTTAAAAGCCTGTATGTCAGCAGCAGTCGACTGAGTGTGGAATGCATACAGTTGCCTTGGAGCAGTGATGCATGCGTCATTTTCGGGGGGTGTTACAGTGTGAATTGGCAACATCAGTTTCAAGTCTCTTCAAATGCCTCCTGGTGACAGGATGCTCCAACATGATTAAAGTGACAGTGCAAATTCAATTTATTGGGTGTGAGACCAAAGTCTTCCTGTGTGAAACACCTTTTGGATTCTTGCCAGCAACTGAAAGCAGAATTCATGACACTGCTCTGTATCGGACACACGAAGTGCTTTTCTTTTTCGCGTCCGCTCTGGTTTTTCTATCTAAAACACATCTTAGATCGTGACGAAAGGGGAGGTGAAGCGACGGACCAGACGACACAGTGAGTGTATTGTGTGTGCACAGGGGTCACGATGAGCTAGCGCAGCATGGCTGATTGCAGTTAACTCTAGCAGTCGCTGCTGGTTGTTCCCAGCCATGCTGAGTTCAGAGTCTGATGCTTCTTTCCATGACGTCAGCCATCAGCAGCACAGAGCTGGCATGAGGCTACAGGCCCGCCTGGTTCACACAGGGGCACACCTCTCTCTCTCCCTCTCTCTCTCCCTCTCCATGCTTATCTTACCCTCTTTGTCACTACACACACATTAACAGACATGATACCTTCCTCTAAGCGGCACAACACAAACAGAATTCCTCAATAGCGGTAACCAGGACATGCTTCTCCACACACACACACACACACACACACACACACACACAGGCATGCTTTATGGTCATGATATCCAATAACCACAGGGCCAAACAAAACATACAGACTGGAATCACCAACATGTGGCTGTGATAATAAGAAGAAAGAGTAAAGTAGAAAAGACTCACGGAGGAGTTGCAGCTACGCAGGTGTTTGTTTATGTGTTTTCTAACTTCTGTAACTTGCTGTACTGTAGCAAATGAGGGGAAATTCTTTTGGCATAATGAGGCCGTTTTAATAGATTAGATTAGTCGGTCTGAAAATTGGGGTCGTCATAAACCGCTTTCAAAGATCAGTATCCGAGCCAATTGAGGCATGCC